CAGGAAGGGATGGAGAGGAAACCTTAGTCCCCCATCTAAATCACCTTTAAACACAGTTATCTCTCCTAAAAAACATTTTGATGGAATGTCCGAGGATTTGGGAACCCTGTACAAGAAATTTTGGCCTAAGTTAAATCTATTAACCTCTTCTTTCAAAGTGGCCTCTGTATACACACTAGGACCATTAGGAGCTGTCAATGTTGGGGGTTGATAACTGCCTCGGCTGAAACGAATGGGTATGCCGTCGTCATCCGAAGACAGAATATCATTTGGATAACCCCCAAGAGCTGAGCTCCCAGAATCTGAGTCTCGAGATTTCTTAGGGTCCATGCGCAAGAAGAAAGGGGAAGATGCTTCGGGAGAGTTATTTCAATTGATACAGGGAGAACAATTTGGGAACATCATCTCTGTTCATCATTAATTCCTCTAACAGAACGTAAAAAGAAAGCCCATACCAATAATCACCCTAGAATATAAATAGACTAAAGAAAATCATCAAAACCTTAATATTGATTGTCCGGTCCCTCTCTGTAATACTGCTATTTTTCCACCACCTTCTTCACAAAACTTACGTATGCAGAATGCATTCAAAGGAAATCTTCTAGAATATCAAACCATTACATTTTCATCAACTAATGCGTGTATTTAGAGAGAGATGACAAGAATGGGTGAGTGATCAGAAAAATCAGTGATGGTTGAAGAGATTTAGGGCTTACTGAAAATTGCAACCGATGGCACATTTGCTCAACGCCGATAAATAAAGGTTGAACCCCAACTTGACGGTCCCCGCCACTTCTCTCTAAGAGTTTTTGTGAGGGAGGTAAATCGCGGGATGTGTCTTAATAGGCCAGAAAATAAGAGCTGTTTGTACACTATGTCTATAAGGAGTCCAATTTCATGTCAATCAAACCTTCATATTGCGGCTGCCAGCAAAGCGTGAGATAACCTCACTCCTATCCTTTGTATCACTGAGTTATGCCCGGGGGCTATAAATAAAGGTTAAACTCTAACCTTAAGGGTCCCCACCACTCCTGCCCTGGAGCATCGTGAGGGAGGTAAATCGCAGGTTATGCCTCCAAGGGTACAGGGTGGAAGGCTGCTTGTACACTTGCACTTACCCAAGAGCCAAATCCATATTTCAAGATTCGACCCTTGACGCAGCAGGCTCAAGCAAAATTGGATTTCTCCACCCTCCCCTTTTACCACTTGGAGATGTGCCCTGGGGGCCCGGGGGCTATAAATAGCATTTATGTGTGATGGTACATTGGTACTTGTTAGGTTTATTAGCCCCTCTTTGACATTACAAAAATGCTGTTTGTACACTATTTTTTTACAGCAATTTTCACGCTTCTTTACAAAGGTGGGGTCCACGGTTATTTTTAATCGTGGACCCCCACCCACTTGCATGGGTATGTATGCTGTGAAAAAAATGTGTGAAAAATGATGCACTTGTAGAATGGTTCTTGACATTATTTGAATAAAAGAGAGTTTTAAATAGTAATTTTTTAGAGGATGCATATTTAAAACTAAGAAAAAGATTTTGAATTTTATGGGTAAAATATTTTTTTATATGAATGTATTATTGAAAATGATTATATAGAAAAAAGAGTTTTGAAGTGGTGGTGTTTCTGCCATTTCAAGAAGCTCGAGACAAATGCCCAAAAGAGCCTTTTAAAATAAATCTGAAAAATTAGAAAAAAGGATAAAACACTTTTTGTTTTTTTAACCGTATTTAACACATCATCATATTATTGTCCCATGTTTATGGTTATAGTTCATACGAGGAGTTTTATTGGCGACTCAGCATAGCCTGAACCAGGTCTGTAGCCCTTCAAGCAGGTACCACTGATGAGGAACTGTATGCTCCAGACGAGGATTTATGTATCTACTATAGTGCATAACTTGTGAGTTTGATCTTGAATTGCCCAAAACCAAAAAATTCCTGCTACCCAAATAGGGCTTGGTGACAGGCTTTTAAACAGGGGCTGAGGTGCATCTGATATGAATTTTTCCACCTCAACCCCTGTTTAATGGACCTGTCACCAGCCCTGTTCAAGTGGTGGCATTATACAAACGAAAAACAGAAAAAATCAATTTTTGTACACTTGTTATATTTCAGCTCAAAACTTAATGTGATGACAAATTGGGCAAAACACAAATCCACATTTCCATCAACTAGAACAATTACATCAACACAGTCTGGGTAATTCCCAGTCCATATTCTATGCTGAATTATTGATAAAGCGCGAGTGTTGCTGAAATACAGCCAAGGACACTAACTTTCATGAGATATGCTAGGGGGACAGGGGATTGGGACAGGGTTTGGCAACAGGGGGCATGTGGCGCCCCCCTATTGGAGGGGTAGCTGACCGCGTCAGCTACCCCTCCAATAGGGGGGCGCCACATGCCCCCTGTCCCAATTCCCTGTCCCAATCCCCTGTCCAAGAAGCTTAAACCAACTTTCATAGTCATCCGTGGAAGATTAATTACATCACCTCTTCACAAAATAGCTATATATGACATTCTCTAACTTCGAAAAGAAACACTCCTATTCAATCAAACCAATAGGACCATGCATTTGCCATTTGACTGAAAAAGGAAGACAAATTATCTTTAAAGTTCCAAGAACATGATCATTCCCCCCCCCCCCCTCACCCCCCCCCGCCCTCNNNNAACTCCCCCCCCCCCCCCCCCCCCCCCCTTTTTTTTATTTCACCCATTTATTCAATTAAAAGGTTGTAAAAATTTGTCACGACAATAAAAACAGCATAGAATACTTGAGACAGATACTCTTGCCATGTCTAATCGAGATGGCTCTTTTTAAATCCAAGCACCAACCTATGGTTTTGGAGCATAAATATGAATACATCTCAATCATCACTCAGTTTCATCATTTTCCGAGTCTCCATCGTCATCCGAAGTTTGTTCCTTTTTATGCTCTTCTCCTGCTGCATTCAACTTTGTCTTCTTCTCTTGCTTCTTCTGTTTCTTCTTCCGTCGTTTCAAACGCTTTTTTGCTGTGCGCTCCTCTGCAGCCTTTAACCTGTCTTCCCTTCTCTGGCTGAATTCTGTTATTTCTTTCCTTTTCTGGTAATCGGAATCCATCCTTGCAAGCCTATCTTGTTCTTTCCGTCTCATTTGCCGGTACTGTAATCATGATCCACACCCCAAAAAGGTGTTAAACCTTCATATCAGTAGATAAACATTGACATGGCAAACTAAAGAGATTTCCATAACCATATTAAGTGCTAAAAGTTGAAAACTATTTGAGCTTATTATTTTAGAATAGTTTGTTTTTTGCCACATCTAAAATAAATTTGACCTTCAGAAATTATGCATGAATCAGAAGAAATGAAACTTGATCCGACCGCATAAGATGCTCAGTGGTTTGCTCTTTGAAACCTAATATACGAATCTATAAAGTTGCACATAATATCTAAAGAATAGTTTGTCCAAAATCTCTGCCTCACGCATTCAGATCAGCTGCATATTTTAATCCACCGAAGAATTAATTTAGACATAATGTAACTGGGGAAAACTGCCAGACAGAGAGAAATCTATTTTCAACAAAGCAAATCAGCTGCTACGTGTCATTCTTTAAGAGAAGTCACTTGCCAAGTATAGGTTATTATAAACTTGTGTATTTGTTCTTCGACGGGGAAATGAATGGTTAACATGGGTTTCCCATACTTTATTCTGCATATTATATAAACTTTGCAACGAAGGAATTTTTTGTCTGCCTGTGTTGCTGCATTGTATTTATTCAGACATAATACAAGATTTATTACTTCTATGAAAAATAATTATGATAATATTTGTTGTATTTGTTTCATACTTGCAGACATTTTCTTACGTATATATTGCTTACAAATTCATATATAAGAATCAAACAAAAGGTGCAATCATAAATAAAAGCTCACGAAAGTTGATAAAGCTTTGATTCATCCCCAACACTACGAAAAGGTACAAACTCAAACTGGGTTGCATTTCACAATCTCATGTCAACATGAATTAATTGTTTAAGAAGGTGAGTGAGGGTTACACTTTGATGTCTGTGAGGCAATGTGCACCAATGACAAATTGAGGCTTATGCATCTTTGACATTAGGTGTACACCTTGCAGCATTCCACCACAAGGAGTTTCACCTTAATTTGAATGGGTTTTGGTGGTTGACTTGTAAACTTTCAAATTCAAGTCAATTTATTTACCAGCGGTGTTCAGGTACATTTTTACAAGCCTAGACTTCAAAAACTGGGCTGAAGTGAAAAAAGTTTGTTTTGAGATTTCATAGTTGGACTTCTCTATTTGCTTCTGGTTGGCAGACTCTCTAAACAAATTGACCATATAGCCACATAACTGTGGAAGAGGGATGCAACGTATTTGGCCTAATCGTAAATCCTTTTAACTAGTGTTCTAGTCGGATCAAGTTGTTTTGTCATGAAAAAAATTGTGACGCCTGCTATTAAGTTTTTAATCATTTGACTATTTTTAATCAAAGTTCTTTCCACAGAAATTGTCGCAGAGTAGCTCCCAACTGATGAAACAAGAACAGCTCTCCCCGATCTTCTTCAGATAAGTTCTCCCCACTTCCACCAAGAGAAGCACTATCTTCCAACAAATATATTGTAAGTACATAACGTTCAACCAAATGAAACGCCATTTTCCTTGTTCTATATTGCCATGGGATTCCCATATAAAATAACATGGGGATAAAGAAGAGTGTTTGAAATTGTTCACAAATGGCAACACGTTTAAGTACAGATATTTCACACTCCACATTCAGGTGAATTAGGGAACGTGATTCTGGTAAATGAACACAATTTCCATGAACACTCAATCCAAAGGAACCAAAACATACTGTAAATTTAAGTGATATAATACATGATATCAAGAAGCGGTATGCAATACCTGATGGAAGTCACCGGAGCCAGAACCAGCTGAACTGCCGGAGGTGTTGTTGACTCGCACAGGTACGCATTCATTAATGCGCCGTAGTTTCACCTCAAGGTCCTCCTCTTCGGGGTTGGGTGGGGGCGGCGTATACTCCACTAGAGCAGTGGAAGGAGACGATGGCGTAGGCCGAGGAGGGAGCGCCTTTACCTGCCTCTCCGCTACCGCAACCATCTGCAGGTCTCCGGCCGCAAAGGACATCAGCCTATCGGATGACGATGACATATTAATTTTATATTTTCTGCAAAGCAGTACAACCCTGAATAGTTCTAATTGCACTATTATTTTGCAATTCGTTCTACGGAATTGATTTGGGGAAAAAGGACGACAAAGTGTTGTTGTTGGGTTTAATTTGGAGGATCCGAACCCGGAAGGTTTGCAATTGGAATATGTGGTCTTGGACCCGCCGATCCGTATGTAAATCCCGAAGCCCTCTTTATTTTCTGCCCAAGCCCAAGTAGCATCTACCCATAGTTGGGCCGCAACTATTGGGCTTTCGTAGTTAATGTTTGACCTTTGCTGGATTGACCCTGTCGGTCTATGGGGCTGCATTGACACCCCCTTTAGGCTCCATGGACGGACAGGACTAGGCCTTGTTCAAACATTTTTTTTTTCTTTAGGGTGCGTTTGATTGCAAGTATGAAATTTGCATGGAAAAAAATAAATTCTAGATAATTCAATTGCCTAAATTTATTTGTATGAAAACTCTCAATTAAATGTGTTTGATTGATTTAATTTTCAACCTACAAAATATAATACTTGTCCATTTTCATTGGTGTGTTAATAAAAGAGAGTGGATAAATAAGAAAGAGAAATAGAGAGTGAATTCCGTGAAAAATAAAATCCTATTCTTCCTATGGTCACGTGACCAAAAGTGGAAAAATATTTTCCATGAAAAAATGGCAATCAAATAGCACAAAAGTAGAAATTTGGGTGGAAAAAATACATTTTTCATGAAAAATATAGGCAATCAAACGCATTCTTAATGTTTTGGATCATTATAAGAGGAAATTACGTATTTACAGGTTTAAGTTTTTCAATTTAAAAATCAGATGTGAAGTTTATTTAACCAAAAATCAGGTATTAATTGAATTATTAATAATATTATAAAATTTATCGAACAACCTCAACCCACTACAAACCCTAAATTATTTCTCCATCCCCGTCTCACCATTCTCTCTATTTATCTCTCTAGCCTCTCCATTCACGGAAACCACCCTAGCCTATCGTTCAATCCAATTGGCAACACCCACAACCTGTAACACCTAACAACCGATGACAAATCCCAGTCCTCGACACCATAACTACAATATCAATGGTTGCCGCCTTCAATCAATACATCCAGCCCCACTCATAACCTCCACCATTCAATTCATATACCACTCACAATTTTCCAAATTTCGCACCCATCCGGCAACAACTTCCTCGTTTTTAATCCGTCTTCTTTGCTTTTACAATCTACAGCGAACTCATACAAATAGGCCCTTCACAAACTGACGATCACTTCTTCATCTCGGAAGGCGACTGTTGCGTGTTGTCACATCTGTCCTACCTACCTGGGCCAATGGCCCACTCATCCTGATCCACGTGGCATTCCTGCCGAGGTGGCACACATTGCCGAGGTGGGTTATATCTGAAGTGCTTCAAGCCGAGGTCCATCCGCCGAGGCTCCTCGATCCGATGTACTTTGCCGAAGTCCAACTATCGAGCCCCATGACCCGAAGCATGGAACCTATTGAAGTTAGCTGAGGTCCTCAAGTGGAAGTTTTTGTCATATGGTCGAAGCCCCGAAGCTGATGTGCGAGCCTCCTAACCACAAGGAGCTTCCTCCACAGTCACTTCTCCCAAGAGATCGCCTGCTCAGAGATCTTATTCGAATGACTGATGGAACGTTTATCACAAGCATAAAGGTCAAGTCTTGTCACTAGTATGGAGGACCTGCGCAAGCAATAAATGCGCCGCAAGCTAGCAAGTCAAGCCCCATACCTAAGAAAAGACGTTTGAACTAAAGAGATGAGGCCACGTGCCACTTCATCCAAGGGCTCCCATTTCATATGTATCACTATAAATACTTCCATTGTGTAATGTCAAAGGCTAATGCAAGAATCAATACTAAAGACTACATTTACTCAACTCTCTCTCATTTACTTGCAATACACAAATCGAGTTTATGCACTTTTACATATACATTTACGAGCACCGGTTGGTAATTATTGTACAATCGGATTACGAACAACCCGTCGGATTCAGAACGTCACCGTCCCGCGTCGTTGGGCTACTCCCACGTCCCTTTGAATCGCTCGTTTTAGACCGTCCACGTGTCTTAGCGTGTTGGACATTCGCCTACGCAAGCGCGGGTGGGACCGGCATCTGTTGGCGCACTTTTTGGGATCAACAGATTGGCGCCGTCTGTGGGAAACCATACCATAACCACGAGCAATCTTGTGGTAGAAGCTTACTGAAAAACATTTGGGCAACCCCCCTTGAAAAAGGACTTGTTCTTGAAAAAGAACAGGAGGAACCCCTATCACTTAGAGAAATCTAAGTCTGATAAAAGAAAAATGAGTTCTAACGAAGATACTCTCCCAAGGAGGGTAAGAGAAAGCACGAATGTGCCTCCCCAACCTGCTGCCCCAGCAGCTCGGACGAGGCTCCACCACCACCAAAGGAGAGGTGGGATGCGTGCGACAGCATGACTATCAAGAGAAATGGCTACCATGGCAGCCAACATGAGGGATATAGCCAACCAAAACTTGGCCATGAGGGAACTCATGGCCCAAATGCAAGGCTAGGGAGGCTTCCCCATTCCTCCATACGCTCCCTGCGGGCACTATCAGCAAGAGGACGAGGTCCAGAGTCATAGGGCTGCCTCGCCAGACTATGGCCGAGGTGAAAGCCCGTTCGAGAGGGAAGTGGGAGTCGACATTTCCTCCAACTTTGCATTTGGCCGACCCACCGAGGTCCAAATGAGTCATGATGACTTCCCACCTCCATATGAGCAAGACCCAAGACATAGGAGAGCAGGAAGTGTTTTTGACAGAATCAGCCCTGCCGAACCGAGGCCCAGTCAACAGCAGTCTTAGTAGTCTCGGACGAGGCCACAGCCTCCACCTCCGATGCCCCATCAGTCGGAGAGAAGGCATGAAAATGCCCCCCGTGTTATCCTGCCTAGAAGTAGGCCGCAGAGGAGGGAGGAAGAGGCTAGGAACCGGCCCGGACCCTCTAACCAACAATCAAGGTACGAGGCCGATGACTATGATTCTGACGAGCAGCAGAGGTCCTGTGACTTGGACGATGATGATGAGAACCTGCCATTCTCAAGAGAACTAAGAAATGCCCAGGCCCCGAGCCACTACGTCATGCCAAAAATACGAAAGTATGATGGAAGAGGTGACCCAGAAAAGCACCTCAATGCTTACAAAACTCACATGAGCCTGAGGGGCGCCACCCCAGCCGTGAAGTGCAGAGCATTCCATTTAACCCTCGGTGGAGAGGCTGAAATCTGGTATAGTAGGCTACCATCTGGGAGCATTCGAAGCTGGCCCGAGTTCAAGACAACCTTCTTGAAGAGGATTGCAGTGAGCAAGAAAGGGGAGATCCCCATCCAGCATCTTCAAGACATGAGACAGGCGCATGGCGAGTCCTTGAAAAGCTTCCTATTTCGCTTCACCGACGAGATGACCTACTGCGTACAGTCACCGACGGAGAAGCACTATCTGCATTGAGAGGAGGCTTGAACATGAACACTCTATTCTGGAGGGATGTGCAGAATCAAGACCCCACCACCTATGACGCCCCACTAGAGATGATGAGAAGGGAGATAATCAATGAAGAATTAATTGAGCATAGGAACAGGGCAAGCAGAGGCCTCCCACCTCCTCAAAGACAGCGAGGTAGGGGTCCGACCTCCCACCTCATGGACTACCAGATGAACCGAGCCGAAAATGAGAACTCCGGCCAAGCTCTGGCCACCACAACTCTGAACGCGGTTCCAACCTTGGCATATGAGGATGTCAACCCAACTGCTGACTCACATCAGATGGAGGCCCAGCAGAGACCCCGTAGAGGAAGAGGCGGGGGCCGAGGTTTTGCACCTAGAAATAGGTCCAATCCGAACCTCTCTGGATACTGTTTGCACCACAGGTCCTATGGGCACGACACCGCAGATTGCAGAGACTATGCACACCGCTCCCGGCAAGAACCCGCCAGAGAAAGACATAACTCGCCTCAGGCGAACAGGCCCCCGCCCAGGTAAGACAACCGACATGGGCGTGAGGCGGCCGCTCCTCGTCAAAGGGATGTATCCCCAAGGCGAAGAGAGCAAGACACAGAGAGGCCCAGAGAAGGGTGTAGACACCGAAGAAATAGGCAAGCTCAAGATGAGGCCCCTATCCATGAGATAGATACCATATTTGGAGGCCCTTATGTTGGCGGTGAAACACGGAACGCCAAAAGAAACTATGCTAGGGAGGCTAAGCACTAGGGTTGGCAACGGTTCGGTTATGGGTCGGTTCGGCCAAAACCATAACCGCACCACCAATTTTTTGACCATACCATAACCGCACCATAACCACGTAAATCGGTTCGGTTCGGTTCGGTTCGTATCTCGGTTTGGCATGGTTCGATTCGGTTAATAAGCACGAAAATAAATTATTTTTTATAGGTTCATCTGTCAAATTGATATAAAACAATTTATGAAAAAAGTCAATGAAAACAAAAATACAATATTCCAAACGAAAATGCAAATAATATTCCAAATGTAAATGCAAACATTATCCTAATTTTCAATTGTAAAATACAAATTTAACAAACAATATTATAAATATAATAATAACAAACTTTTCTTTCATTCTTAATTGTTGTGCATCGAAGTTTCTTGATTCATTCTTCCCTACAAGTCTTACTAGCATAGATCAGCATTCAAAGTTGATTTCTATTCATCCTTGACAATACTGGCACGCCTAGAAAAACATCGAACTCTGTTTTTACATGATCAGCAGTAATAGAATGGCTAACAAATGTAACAAATTTTCGGAGGCGACGACGACTTGGACCGTAGAGGCAGTGGAGCCGTGCGTGAGTTTGTGGTTTGTGGAGAGTAGGGTTTGCATTTATATACTATAATACTAATGCTATTATGGGCTAATGGTAAGTGGGCTGGCCATATGAGTCAGGTAGATGTAATGAGGAGGGAAGGGATTTTGTTTTGGTCTGGATAGAAAAGTAGTGTAAAGCCCATAATCAATTCAATTGTGTTTTTTTAGCGGGTAATCGGTTCGGTTTCGGTTCGACGACGTAAATACCATACCCGCACC